AGGGATTGGTCCCTCCTGATAACATGTCCAAAGTATGGGAGACAAAGTCTCACCATCCTCACTTCTAAGGAGCATTCTGGCTGTACTTTTTCCAAAACAGATTTGTCCATTCTTCTGGCAATCCATGGTATATTCAGTATTCTTCACCAACAGTATAATTCAAAGGCATCAATTCTTCTTGGGTCTTCCTTATTTATTCTCCAGCTTTCACATGCATATGAGGCTATTGAAAATATCATGGCTTGGGTCAGATGCATCCTCAAAGTGGTATCTATGCTTTTTAACACTTTAAAATATTCTCAGAATAATATTTTTAAATACATTAAGTTCATAGACACCTTGAATTCTACTCATGGATCTCTTGAAGGTTCAAGAACTGGGGTTCTACCCTCCAAGTATTTGAAAGTAGATGTTGCCACATTTGACAACGATGCATTAGGGGCCATTTTTCCACCTTTTCCATCTCCCGTGTTCTAAAGGGGAAGGTTCTCCTTTCTTCCCATCCAGGAACTTCTGGGGACACAGGGAGTGCTGCCATTGAGAGTGTCCAAGAGGCAAAGAACGTGGACATCATTGTTTTGCTGCTGAAGGGTCACTGCTCAAAGATCCAGGAGCTCCAGATGACACCAGTGCTGAAGGAGAATGTCCACGTGTTTGAAGGTGGGTGCCAGGCAGAAGTTCAGGGACAGCGGGGCCCTGCCTTGATTGGCTCCGTTTTGAGAGATGGGCTGGGATGAAACCGGACCACTGACTGACTGACTACATACCTTCCTTCTTCCTCTCACCCTCCTTTCCTTCATCAGTCGTATTTGAGGTTGGCATATGCCTTAGCTTAGCACTGGTAGGCTCCTGGTACACAGTCTCATGAACAACTGGAGGTGACAGGTGCATAAACCAATACTGATCATGTGACATACAAGTGCAGGTTTAAAAGCATACCCCAAAAAGTGCCTCCTCCACACAGGTTAAACCTACCAGTGTTATGTATGTAGGCAGCCACCGAGCACCATAATCTGAGCTAACTGACTTGGGTTTTGTCCTAGCGGACTGAAATTTAGAGGGCACCAACACATTAAATAATTATTTTAGGAGAACATGTCGTTACATGTCGACAGCTCATGCCTTCCTTTATAGAATAGAAACAAACTTTGTGCTTGATTAGCAGGTCTAAGTATACATATATATACTGGTTTGGTTTCAAGGAGGATGTGTGTTAGTTCAGAAACTATCAGTGAATGAGCGTTTTCCCTTAGACTGGTGATCTCAGGTAGAAGGGATGGACCATCTGGATTGTTGTATGCTGGGCACTGATATGGGTTTATAAAGTCATTAATTTCCGTATAAGTTGCATACTTGATTCTTTTTTTGTTTATTGTACTTTCGATGAAGGTTTACAGAACAAACTATCTTCTCGTTAAACCATTAGTATACATATTGTTTTGTCACACTGATTACTGTCTTGGTCATCTAGTGCTGCTATAACAGAAATACCACAAGTGGATGGCTTTAACAAACAGAAGTTTATTCTCTCACAGTCTAGTAGGCTAGAAGTTCAAATTCAGGGAATCAGCTCCAGGGGAAGGCTTTCCCTCTCTGTTGGCTCTGGAGGAAGGTCCTTGTCATTAGTCTTCTCTTGCACTAGGAGCTTCTCTGCACAGGGACCCCAGGTCCAAAGGACATGCTCTGCTCTCGGTGCTGCTTTCTTGGCGGTATGAGGTCCCCAACTCTCTACTTGGTTCCCTTTCCTTTTATCTCTTGTAAGATAAAGGGCCGTCCAGGCCATACCCCGGGGAAACTCCCTTTACATTGGATCAGGGATGTGTCCTTAGTAAGGGTGTCACAATCCCACTCTAATCCTCTTTAACACAATCTAATCTTGCCTCATTAACTACAGGCAGAGATTAGGATTTACAATACATAGGAAAATTACAGTCACAAAATGGAGGACAACTACACAATACTGGAAATCATGGCCTAACAAAGTTGACACAGTTACCAACCCCACGACATGTCAACACTCTCCCTTCTCAACCTTGGTTTCCCTATTGCCGACTTTCCTGTCCCCTCCTGCCTTCTAGTCCTTGCCCCTGGGCTGGTTTGCCGCTTTAGTCTCGTTTTGTTTTATGAGCCTGTCTGATCTTAGGCTGAAGTGTGAACTTCAGGAGAGACTTCATTAGTGAGCTAAAAGGGTGTCTAGGGGCCATACTCTCGGGGTGCATACTTGATTCTTGTTGTTGTTATTAGGTGCCATCGAGTCGGTTCCGACTCATAGTGACCTCATGTACACAAAGCAAAACATTGCCTAGTCCTGCACCATCTTCACAATTGTTGCTCTGTTTGAGACCCTTCTTGAACCCACTGTGTCAATCCATCTCGTTGAGGGTCTTCCTCTTTTTTGCTGACCCTCTACTTTACCAAACATAATGTCCTTCTCCAGGGACTGTTCCTTCCTGATAACATGTCCAAAGTATTTGAGACCAAGTGTTGCCATCCTCCCTTCTAAGGAGCATTCTGGCTGTAATTCTTCCAAGACAGATTTGTTCGTTCTTCTGGTGGGCCATGGTATATTCGGTATTCTTCCAGACCGTAATTCAAAGGCAGCAATTCTTCTATGGTCTTCCTTATTCATTGTCCAGCTTCACACGCGTATGAGGTGGCTGAAAATATCTTGGCTCGGGTCAGATGCACCTCAGTCCTCAAAGTGACATCTTTGCTTTTTAACACTTTAAAGAGGTCTTTTGAAGCAAATTTGCCCAATGTAATATATTGTTTGATTTCCTGAATGCTGCTTCCATGGGCATTGATTGTGGATCCAAGTAAAATGAAATCCTTGACAACTACAATCTTTTCTCCGTTTATCAGGTTGTTGCTTATTGGTCCAGTTGTGAGGATTTTTTTTTTTTTTTTTAATGTTAAGGTGGAATCCACACTGAAGGCTGTAGTCTTTGATCTTCATCAGTAAGTTCTTCAAGTCCTCTTCAATTTCAGTAAGCAAGGTTGTATCATGTGCATATCACAGGTTGCTAATGAGTCTTCCTCCAATCCTGATGACCCATTCTTCTTCATGTAGTCCAGCTTCTCAAATTATTAGCTCAGCATACAGATTGAATAAGTATGGTGAAAGACTACAACCCTGACGCACACTTTTCCTGATTTTAAACTATGCAGTATCCCCTTGTTCTGTTCAAACGACTGCCTCTTGGTCTATGCACAGGTTCCACGTGAGCACAATTAAATGTTCTGGAATTCCCATTCTTAGCAGTGTTATCCGTAATTTGTTATGATCCACACAGTTGAATGCCTTTGCATAGTCAAGAAAACACAGGTAAACATCTTTATGGTATTCTCTGCTTTTAGCCAAGATCCATCTGACATCAGCAATGATATCTCTGGTTCCATGTCCTCTTCTGAATCCAGCTTGAATTTCTGGAAGTTCCCTGTCGATGTACTGCTGCAACCACTTTCGAATGATCTTCAGCAAAATTTTACTTGCGTGTGATATTAATGATATTGTTCGATAATTTCACGTTTTGTTGGATCAACTTTCTTTGGAATGGGCATACATATGGATCTCATCAAGTCAGTTGGCCAGGTAGCTGTCTTTCAAATTTCTTGGCATAGATGAGTGAGTGCTTCCAGCATTGCATTCATTTGTTGAAACATCTCAACTGGTATTCTGTCAGTTCCTGGAGCTTTGTTTCGCCAATGACTACAGGGCAGCTTGGACTTTTTCCTTCAGTGCCATCAGTTCTTGATCATATGCTACCTCCTGAAGTGGCTGAACGACAATCATTTTTTTTGGTACAGTGACTCTGTGTATTCCTTCCACCTTCTTTTGACACTTCCTGCATCATTCAATATTTTGCCCATAGAATCTTTCAGTATTACAACTTGAGGCTTGAATTTTTTCTTCAGTTCTTTTAGCTTGAGAAATGCTGAGCATGTTTTTCTTCCCTTTTGGTTTTCAAACTCCAGGTCTTTGTGCATGTCATTATAATACTTTACTTTGTCTTCTCGAGCGGCTCTTTAAAATCTTTTGTTCAGCTCTTTTACTCCATCATTTCTTCCTTTCGCCTTAACTACTCTGCATTCACGGGAAAGTTTCATAGTCTCTTCTGACATCTATTTTGGTCTTTCCTTTGTTTTTAATAACCTTTTGCTTTCTTCATGTATAATGTCCTTGATGTCATCCCACAACTCGTCTGGTCTTTGGTCATTAGTGTTCAATGCGTCAAATCTGTTCTTGAGATGGTCTCTAAATTCAGGTGGGGTATACTCAAGGTCATACTTTTGTTCTCGTGGACTTGTTTTAACTTTCTTCAGCTTCAACTTGAACTTGCATATGAGCAATTGATGGTCTGTTCCACAGTTGACCCCTGGTCTTGTTCTAGCTGATGATATTGAGCTTCTCCATCATCTCTTTCCACAGATTTAGTCGATTTGATTCCTGTGTATTCCATCTTGCGAGGTCTATGTGTATAGTCACTGTTTATATTGTTGAAAAAAGGTATTTGCAATGAATATGTCGTTGGTCTTGCAAAATTCTGTCATGTGATCTCTGGTGTCATTTCTATCACCAAGGTCATCTTTCCAACTACAGATCCTTCTTTGTTTCCAGCTTTTGCACTCCAATTACCAGTAATTATCAATGTATCTCAATTGTATATTTGATCAATTTCAGACTGCAGAAGTTGGTAAAAATCTTCAATTTCTTCATCTTTGGCATTAGTGGTTGGTGAGTAAATTTGAATAGTCATATTAACTGGTCTTCCTTGTAGGTGTATGGATATTATCCCATCACTGACAGCGTCATACTTCAGGATAGATCTTGAAATGTTTTTGACGACGAATGATGATAATTCTTCCTAAGTGCAGTATAATCAGCAATCACTAGGTATTTATTGATTATGTTATTTTGGAGGCTTTTGGCAGAAATAACAGAAAATCCAACTTAGCCCAGCTTAAACAACAAGAACCTTTTCAGCTTACATAACTGGAAGTCCAGAAGTGGAGTGGGCTCCAGATGGGTTGATTCAGTGACTCAAAAATGCCTCAGGGACCCAGTTTCTTTCCATTCTCTGCTCTGCCTTCCCCAATCCTAAGTTCCTTCCTCTTATGGTCATATGATGCTTACTCAAGGTAACCAGGTCTCTGTCTTCCTGTGGCTCTCTCTTAAAAGCAGTAAAGCAGTGATTATTTTTTCTAGAACCCCAGCAAACATCCCCTCATGTCTCATTGGCCTGAATTTAGCGATGACTCCACAAGAACGCTAGACACTCATTGGCTTGGTCCTGAGTTCCTGAACAGGAGCTGGCCAAAGGAATGGGATCACTGCGACTGGCTTAGGCCATTTAGGGTTCATTTGTGGGGCTAGGGTCAGTCCTCCAACATCACTGCCACTGCACAGTGGTGATGCTGGAATGGATAATAACCTTAATGCCTACTTAATCCCCCAATAAATCCCATTTCCAACTCCTCCAAGATTGGTTCAAATGGGGAAATAGATCCAGTTATCAGATAAGGGATCATTATTGGATTGATTGCTGGTTGAGTAGGATTGGGGAATACAACTTGGACCAGTCAGTGGCCAAATGACTTTCTTAATAATTCTCCCATAAATTAAACTGACATGCACCCCCAGCTTCAGGAGGAGAAGTTCTGCCCATGTGAGCTTACCCACCACATAAGGACAGAGAGCAGAATAGCCACCTTGTGATCTGCATGAGGGAAGGAGGGCAGGCCACATGGGAATAGTGACTATCTCCATCTTAACCCCCGATAGAGGACTGTGGGATAAAGGATCAGCCTCTCACCATCTCACAATCAGATAAACCATCCCTCCTCCTTCCCAGAAGAGTAGGGAAAATGGGCATGGAACACAAAGAGGAATTGTTTTCCTAGTATTTCCAGAAGGTTGACATTTTATATCTTATTTTCCATAATGGTGTAAGCAATGGGGAAGGTTCCCACTGCATTTTCTGCTGTCTCTAAGCGAGGCTAGCTATTCAGGGGCACACCAGTATGACACAGGCTTCTATCCTTGAGGAGCTCAAGAGAGTCCAGAAAGCAAGGCCAAGACAGGGGAAAGAAAAGACACCAAGGGGATCGAAGGTCCCAGCAGGATGGGCTCAGCGGGGAGGACTTTCTGGGGAAGTGCTGACCACTCATGATAGCTGCCCTCTCCCCTTGCCCCCAACAGTGGAGGGAAACAGCGATGAGCTTGATGAGCCGATCAAGGCTGTGTTTGCCGATGTGGATTTTGTCAAGGAGCACAGTTTGATGAGCCTTAACTCAATCAACTGGTCCCGCGTCCTTGTGCAGACGGCCCACCACTTCTTTGCCTACTTCCGGTGTGCACCATCCATGGACACGGATCCCCTGCCCCCTGTGGAGGTGGTTGTACCAACTGGGGCTGCCGGTAACCTTGCAGGTAAGGAGAGCCCAGGGCTGAAATGGACTTTCAAGAGAAGCACCTGTGACCCAGTCCTTCCAGCTGCCCTTAGGCTGCAACTGTGAGGAGAAAGGTGGAGTCCTCCTTCTGAAGGTAGTGGGAAACTGTGTAGAATAAGCTCCCAGAAAACTCTTCCCTAACTTCCTGAAATTCCTGGGGGACATCCCAGGCTCTTGCTGCAGGTAGAGGATGAGGAGGTAACCCCAGTGTGTCAGTGGCCTGGCCTGCTTTCCTTATCTGCTCGGCAGAGTGTGGAGGGATGAGGTCAGGGTCCAGCTGCTGTGCCAAGCTGGCAGTGCCCTCCTCTGCTGACTCACACTTAATGCTCAGCCTTGGCCAGCTGCCTGATGTGAGGATGAGTGGCTGGAGTGGCACAGTCTGATCCCACTCCTGGTGACATTGGATTCCGCGGTGAGGTGGAACGAGTCTGCACTGAGGGCTCCACCCAGTCCTGCCATTTACTAACTGAATAGCTGTTGGGTTGGACTCAGCTCCTCATCTGTATGAGGGAGGCTGGACTGCTTGTCATATCTCTCAGGATTGCTGGGGGAGTCAATACGATTCTCCATGTGTACGTGAACTTTGTAAGGGTTAAGTGCTGTGCAACTACACGGCATTAAAGCAATATTCTTTAACAATAATTAACATTTACTAAGTGCTGACTCTGTGTCATGCAAGGCCCCTGGGTGGAGCAAATGGTTCGCCCTTGTCTACTAACCAAAAGGCTGGTGGTTCCAACCCACCGACTGGTGCCACGGAAGGAAGTCCCTAGCAATGTGCTCCTGTAAAGATTACAGCCAAGAAAACCCTATGGAGCATAGTTCTACTCTGTGACACATGGGGTCACCATGAGTCAGACTTGACTCAGTAACAGTGGGAGAATGTATCATGTACCGTTCTAAGTGCTTTTCAGGTATTAACTGATTTAATCCTCACATTTAATCCATTCAGCCTCTTAATGGGCATTACTGTTTGATAGTTTGGTTCATGGCATTGCTTCTGATGGTCTGGGTGAGACCATGAAAGCATCTGGGTAGTTAGGAAGCTCCCGCACATTTTCCTCTAACAGAGTGATGGAAAGAAGCGTGGGCTGGGAGTTAGGCAGGGAAGGACCAGCCTTGTTCACCACTCCAGGGTGCCCACAGTGCCCCTGTTCACATTGTCCTTCAGTGAGTGGTGCTGCCTGCAGTCGTGCAGCCTGCGGCCCTCTGCATCCAGCACCAACCACAGCGCCTGGCACAAAATAAACCCACGACCATGGTCTCAGGGAACATCTAGCTCAGTTGCGTAACATAGCTTATAATGAAAACGTTCTACATTCTACTTTGGTGAGTAGTGTCTGGGGAGTGTTTGGTGAGTTAAAAGCCTGTGAGCAGCCATCTAAGATACTCCACTGGTCTCACCCCTTCGGGAGCAAGGGAGAATGAAGAAAACAAGATACAAGCGAAAGATTAGTCCAAAGGACTAATGGACCACAACTACCACAGCCTCCACCAGACTGAGTCTAGTACAACTGGATGGTGCTCGGCTACCACCACTGACTGCTCTGACCAGAATCACAACAGAGGATCCCGGACAGAGCTAGAGAAAAATGTAGAACAAAATTCTAACTCACAAAAAAAGACCAGCATCACTGGCCTGACAGAGACTGGAGAAAGCCCGAGAGTATGGTCCCCAGATACCCTTTTAGCTCAGTAATGAAGTCACTCCTGAGGTTCACCCTTCAGCCAAAGATTAGACAGGCCCATGAAACAAAATGAGACTAAAGGAGCACACCAGCCAGGCAGGAGGGGACAGGAAAGCCATTAATAGGGAGCCCAAGGTCAAGAGGGGAGAGCGTTGACATGTGGGGTTATTAGCCAGTGTCATAAAACAATATGTGTACTAACTGTTTAATGAGAAAATAGTTTGTTCTGTAAACCTTCATCTAAAGTACAATAAAAAACAAGAAAATAAAATAAACCCACAATGACCGTTTGCTGAGGATGTTCCTGTCCTCCCCATTCTGTCAGGAACCAGCTATTTGACCTTGAGCCCTGGGCCTTCCTGAGCCTCCATTTCTCCTCCATCATACAGGGATATGATGAGGTTTTTATAAGGATCAAATGCAGTAAGAACTGTCAAAGAGTTTTGCAAAATTAAGAGTGATACTGGGGTAGCCTAGGAGCCCTGGTGGTGCAGTGGTTAAAGTGATCAACTGGTAACTGAAAGGTTGGCGGTTCGAAACCACCAGTGGCTCCACGGGAGAAAGATGTGGCAATCTGCTTCCATAGAGATTTACAGCCTTGGAAACCCGATGGGATCACTGAGTCAGAATCAACTCGATTGCAGTGGGCTTGGTTTTTTTGATTGGGGTGGCCTAATTATCCTGAACTCCACTTAACTATTCACCAAAGAGAAACCATCCTAAACTGCATTACTTTTGGGCTCTGCATCTCTCAGGGTGAGGAAATGCTTGTTTGTTCCATGCAGACAACAGCTGCTATTTGGGTGGGCTGAGGGGCATTGCTCTGCCCACCCTCAGTGCCTCAGACGCAGTCTGAAGCCGCTGGTTCTAGGAGGTATAAGAGCATGTGCTCTGGACTTAGACAGACGTAGTTAGAGTCCTTACTCTGCCACTTAGCAGGCTTGGGGTGGGCCGTTTGAAGCTCTTGGAATCTCCACTTCCTTTTCTGCAGTGGGCTGTTTTAAGGTAGTGGGTACTATGTCAGTACCTAGCAGGGGACCATGGAGGCGGTGGTTCAATGGTAAAATTCTCGCTTTCCATGCGGGAGACCCAGGAATTGGGTTAGGTTCCTGGCCAGTCCACATCATGCGCAGCCACCACCCATCTGTCAGTGGATGCTGAACAGATTTCAGCAAAGCTTCCAGACTAAGATGGGCTAGGAAGAAAGGCCTGGCAATCTACTTCTGAAAATCAGCCAATGAAAAACAACAGTCCGATCTGCAGCGGTTTGATCATGGGGATGGTGCAGGACCGGGCAGCATTTTGTTCAGTTGTATGTGGGGTTGCATGAGTCAGGGGCCGACTCGATGGCAGCTACCTACTGCGATGACAGCAGGGTCCCCAATGGCACGTAGAATAGTCTCAGGGCACAGTAATACATTCCTCCTCTTCCTCATCCTTCTTCTCTCTCTCAACAGCTTTAATGAGATATGTTCACATAACCATGCAAGTCACCCATTTAAAGTATACAGTTCAGTGGTTTCACAGAAATGTGCAACTATCACAACAATCAATTCAGAACATTTTCATCATCCCAGAAGGAAACCCCATACCTATTAAGTCACTCCCCGTTTTTCCCCAACTCCCCAGCTCTAGGCAATCACGAATCTACTTTTTGTCTCTATAGATTTGCCTATTCTAGACATTTCATATACATGAAATCATATATGGCTTTTTGTGCTTGCTTTCTTTCATGGTCCATCCATTTTTTAGCACGTCAGTACTTCATTCCTTTTTATTGCTGAATAACATTCCCTTGTATAGATAGACAACATTTTGTTTATTCATTCATCTGTTGATGGGCATTGGGTTGTTTCCAAGTTTGGGCTGTTACAAATAATGCTACTATGAACATTTGTTTAAGTTTTTGTGTGGACAAATGTGTTCATTTCTCTTAGGTGTATACCTGCGAGTGGGATTGCCGTGTCATATAGACACTCTAACTTTTCGAGTGAGGAACTGCCAAACTGTTTCCAACATGGCTGCACCATTTTACATTCCCACCAGCAATGTACAAGGCTTCCAGTTTCTCTACATCCTCACCAACACTTGTTATTGTCAGTCTTTTTGATTAATGCCATCTTAGTGGGTATGAAGTGCTATCTCATTGTGGTTTTGATTTGCATTTCCCTAATGACTCATGATGTCAAGCATCTTTTCATGTGACTTTTGGCCATACGTATATCTTTTTTAGAGTATTCAGACCCTTTGACCATTTTTAAATTGAGTTACTTGTCTTTCTATTGTTGAGTTGTAAGAGTTCTTTATATATTCTAGGCACAAGTCCTTTATTACACATATGATCTGTAGATATTTTCTCGCATACTGTGGGTTATTTTTTTACTTTCTTTATAGTGTCCTTTGGAGCACAAAAGCTTCAAAAAGCACAAAAGTTTTAAAATTTTGATGAAGTCCAATTTATCTATATATTTTATTGTTGCTTGTGCTTTTGGTGCCGTATCTAAGAAACCACTGTCCTCCTCTTCTCTTGTCTCTAGCTGGGTGCATTGCTCAGAAGATGGGCCTGCCCATCCACCTGGTCGCCACCGTGAACCACAATGACATCATCCACAGGACCATCCAGCAGGGGGACTTCTCTCTGTCCAAGGCCGTCAAACCAACTTTGGCATCAGCTATGGACATCCAGGTGGGCCTGTGGGGAGGTGTGCAGGTCTGGCCCGGATGTTGTCGGGTGGGGCTAGACAAGGGTTGAGATCAGTGTGGCTGCAGAACCTTGCCTTTCTGCCCAGGTGCCCTACAACATGGAGAGGATCTTCTGGCTGCTCTCCGGCTCTGACAGCCAGGTGACAAGGGCCCTCATGGAGCACTTTGAAAGAACCCAAACTCTGAGTCTGCCCAGGGAACTGCACAGCAAGGTCAGTCACCGTGCGTACCATGGGGAGACCAGGCTTGGTGTTTGGAAGTCTGTTCAGGGGAAGGGCCGCCTGTTTCTCCAGCACCTGCTGTGAGCTGGGCACTTTCACAGTCACTGTATGTGGATTAGTTTATTGAATGAAGAGAGGCAGGAGAGAGCATTGGCTTAAAGTCAGACGGGGCTCAGTTCCGAGCCAGCTGTGAGACCTTGGGCAAGTGTCTTAAACTCTTATGCCTCAATCTATAAAATGGAGACAAGAATGTCTACCTCATAGGGTTGTTTTGAAATTTAAGTCACATAATACACATGAAGTACTTTGCGTACTGCCTGGCAATGCAGGACTCCATACATTGCTGTTGTTTTTGTTGTTAGGTGTTATCGAGTCAGTTCCAGCTCATAGCGACACTATGCACAACAGAACAAAATACTGCCCGGTCCTGCGCCATCCTCACAATCATTGTTATACTGGAGCCCATTGTTGCAGCCACTGTATCAATCCATCTCATTGAGGGTCTTCCTCTTTTTCACTGACCCTCTACTTTACCAAGCATGATGTCCTTCTCCAGGGACTAGTCCCTCCTGATAGCATGTCCAAATATGTGAGACGTGGTCTCGCCATCCTTGCTTCTAAGGAGCATTCTGGTTGTACTTCCTCCATGACAGACTTGTTCGTTCTTTTGGCAGTTCATGGTATATTCAATATTCTTTGCCAACGCCACAATTCAAAGGCGAAAATTCTTCGTTGGTCTTCCTTATTCATTGTCCAGCTTTTGCATGCAGATAAGGCAACTGAAAGCACCATGGCCTGGGTCAGGCACACCTTAGTCTTCAAGGTGACGTCTTTGCTTTTCAACACTTTAAAGAGGTCTTTTGCAGCAGACCTGCCCAATGCAGTGCGTCTTTTGATTTCTTGACTGCTGCTTCCATGGGTGTTGATTGTGGATCCAAGGAAAA